AGTTGTTGTTAAAATATTGGGTATTATTTATCATCTTCTTTCTTTCTTTCTCTCTTCCTTTTTTCTCCCTTTTTTCTTTCTCTCTTTCTTTCTTTCTTTCTTGCTTTCTTTAATTCTTTTATTCTCTCTCTCTCTTTATTTTTATTTCTATTTTTTCTGTCTCTCTCTCTCTCTCTTTCTTCCTTCTTCTTTTTCATGCTATTGGGATAATAAGACTCTTTTTCATGCTATTGGGATAATAAGACTCACTGAATGGCAACGGAAAATACGTTTTCACTTTCTTATTAAAATAAAGTTAGACTGAACAAATCCTCGGCAAACAATTTTTTTTTTAAATCCATGTCAACAGAACTCAAGCTAGATAATCCACAACCAACTTCTGTAAAGCCGTGTATCTACGCTCATTCACACCATTCAGTCCTTTATAACATTCGCATTCTTTTAATGTGAAAGAAGCGCCATTACGGCGGCTCTAAACATCAGACTTTGGCGGCTTTAAATCGCTTGTTCTGTTCGTTAGAGTCGTGTAAGAAAAGACGCTGCTGCGTCAATGAAGTGAAATCATTTTCATTCATCCTCACAGCATGTAGTTACCAAGTCGGGTGATCCTAACGAGAAGAGAACCAGGTTGAGTTCAATAAGGAGCTGAATATTTGATATACTAAAACTAGCAGAGGAAGAAAGCCACTCAAATGGCCTTTGTTAATACTTGCGCTTTTTTCCAACCACGTTTATTTAATTTTACTTCCTGTAAGATATCGTCTTTTTAGTCCTCTTTTCTTATTTTCATTTTTTCTTTTCTGATCCCCCGTTTCTCGGTTTCATCTCACAATTTATAGCCGAACACTATTTTACATCTTGAGATATATCTTCTTTTTCAGTACTCTTTTTAGTAAATTTTTTCTTATTTTTTAATTTTTTTAATTCTGATTTCCTTCCCCCCTTCTCAGTTTCCTCTCACGACTCATAATTGAACAGAGCGAACCATCAATCATTCAATCTAACAATCCGAGAGTTCATTTTATGAGATTCGTCCAAATACAACCTCGATTCACATTATCGGCTGAAATCGTCAAGTCTTTAGAGCTAATACACCAGTTAGAGTAGCTCATTTTCGTTATCTTAACTCGAGCTTTTTTTGGTCAGGTTGGTTTCATTCCAAATAAAATTGTTTTATCACGACAAACCAATATCTGAATGTGTCATTAGAGTGACGATCCGTGCAGCTTTAGCCATTGATTTGATGAATCACAGTTGGATATGTGATAAATCCCTTACAGAGGCGTCAAACTAGCAATATGGAAAGCGAGCGCCACAGCGGCGACCTAATTGAGGATCGCTCAATATTATAGCATTGATCATCGTAATGGGATTCGCTTCGTCTAAGTTGCCTATCACTACGAAAAAACTCACTTAAATTCTGGACAAGCAGTTTTACCTATTAAGCTCGTTTAATTCACTAATACAGGTGCAATAGTCATTAATAATTTTTTATCAAAATTGAACAAAAAATTTTGAAGACCTTAATTAAGATAAGCGATATTAAACACTAAAAATAGCCTAGAACGAGATTCTTGCCATCTTGCGAAATGCAACCAAAAGAGTTAAATATCAGCGAAGTTCAACAAATAATATGCCGTGAATTTAAAAGAATGCTGTATTAGATTGCGAACAAATCTTATAGTTTCTGGCATGTTAAATTTTGAATCGGGGCCAAGGTTGAGCGTAACTCGACTGTGAATACCACGTAAAAGGGAATCAGGGATATTGAAGTCGTAGTACAGTCACCGCTGGGGTCTCGGGTTCAATTCACAGACTCAGCATCACATGAGAGTAGAGTTTGTTAGGTCTCTCCTTAGATTCGGTGGCTGGCTTTTCTCCTGTGTTCTCTTTAGGGGTTTCTTTCCTCCGCAAAACCTAACGAGCTAAATTTCGATTCAATTTCTGCGTTCAACCGTGCCCTGACTTTGATCAGCACAGAGATTGTTCTAGGGTTCTATCTGTGAGTTAGCCATGCCCTGACTTAGATTAGCCCAGAGGTTGTTTCAGGGTTCTATCTGTGAGTTAGCCATGCCCTGACTTAGATCAGCCCAGAGGTTGTTTCAGGTTATCAATAAAAAATGAAAACTTTTTCTTAATAGTACCTCGCGTACCTGTCTTGAAAAACATAATATAGTAGTAATAAATTATGCGTTCGGTGTGTGTAATGAAATAGAGAGAATAAGAGAAAAATATCAAATAATATTTTCGTCTTATTCTCTCTATGTCTTGAACAACAGAGAGATTCTATTAATACAGTTTAGTTCATATCTGTAATGTGACGGTTCATTTGCTTCGGTTTCTAATTAAAATAGACACAGTTTGCCTCTTTTTCTTAATCAGTTTTTTCAAGTCAGATTAATTGGACTTCTTGATTTATGAAATTTTGGATATTCATAACGAAATGTCTAAGACAGAACTCTTTTAATCGACCCCCCATCAATCGACCAATCCTCATATAGCGACCAACCCTTAATTAGCGACCAGGTGTCAAACTCACAAACAGTTTCCATTTCAGACCACGTGTCATTCTCTTGAGAAAAAGATTCTCTGTTTGAGTTGTATCCATATTTATGTGTGATCTTATCTACCGTTAAACAAAGAAGTGATACTCTAGGGAATGACACATGGTCTGAAATGTGAAAACATTGCACCCAAACTGAAAGGGTTCATTCTTAGTTCAATGTATTCTTCACTTACGGGGCTTTTTTCCCCTTCCATTAAATTCTGAAGAAGAATAGTGTTAATTTATTTAAATCGAACACGCAGGCAATGATTGCTCAGTTTCGAGATCCAGAGGCTTATGATTAAAGCACTCGACGCTAGATCCAATTGGAATTTAACCTTTAAACCGCAAGTTAATTTCGCCCAATATCTTTAAAAGATGAAGATATATATATAAACTGCTTTGGTTCTCTTTCTGACTTTTTCCATTTACATCCCTCATCTCAAACCAATTCAAACTACTTCAAACTGGTTAGAGCTGTGCTGCGGGGTCATACATGGACTGTATAGCGGCTACCAGAGGCGCCTTCACATGCTTTCAGTTCAACCCCGTTGAGCTGCGCCACTGCTGTACTTGCGGTGGTGATTAGCGATGACAAGTTTTTTAATCAAAGCTTCTCCTCCATCTCAAGTAATAAATTGATCTAAATATTCGCACTTATTTCTTTTCAGGGCCTTTTTCTGCTCCTCTTTTATGGAAACCAAGCGAACCAAGTCCCTCCTTCCTCCCTACTCAGATCGATAGACACCAACCTCAAGCAAACACATATCCATGGACTGCGCATGCCTTCACAGGAAATCGCGCTGCCCTCAGTAATCACCGACTGCTCTGGAATCCTGCTTTTTCGCATTGTTATATGAATCTCAGCCATTGTGAAGGCCCCCGTGGATTGTATAACTCTGACCGATCCAGGAACTATTATGATTATTTCTTTTATGATAATAGTTACCGTACATCACAGAATAACAGGTACAGGAATGGCTTCAATCAACCCAACACACTAAGAGAAAGTTATCCTGCCTTTGTGTTACAAAACCCCGACAAACACGCTAGCAACCTCACCGAAAACACCTATTCAAACCACTTTGACTCCCAGATGAATAAATTTAGCGAAAAAGATAGAAGAAAAGATCAAGKAAACTTAGGGAATCTTGGGATTTTGAAAGACGCCGCTGGTCAGTTAAATCAAGGACGCATGCTACGACAAGAGGATCCACGTGACCACAAGCCAATGGGATTCAATGTAGGGTTAAAGGATCGTGTGATGTTTGAGCCTGGTTGTAGTGGTGGTGAGTTTAGTGAGTGTGATTCCAATTCATTGGGTAAAGGTTATGAGGAGTTCTCTAAAGGCCTACCTTTAGACGAGGGACACAACCACAAACACGCTGACACGTGCCAAGAAACCTTTGCTTGTAAAACCTGCAAGAAGATTTTCTGCACGCCTCATGGACTCGAGGTTCATGTGCGTCGCTCGCACACATCGACGAGACCCTACAGCTGTTCGACCTGTGGCAAGACCTTCAGCCATTTCGTGAGCTTAACGCAACACAAGAAAACTCATTCATCCGTTCGAAGTTTTGAGTGTAAGAAATGTGGCAAGCACTTCAAAAGGTCTTCAACTCTGTCTACCCACATGCTAATCCACGCGGACATCAGGCCTTTTGCCTGCGCTTACTGCGGCAAGCGGTTTCACCAGAAATCAGACATGAAGAAGCACACTCTGGTCCACACTGGTGAAAAACCACACGAGTGTACGTACTGTGGCAAATGCTTTAGTCAGTCTTCTAATCTCATCACACACAGTAGAAAACACATGGGGTTCAAGCCATTCGCGTGTGAAGTGTGCGGAAGAGCATTCTACAGAAAAGTCGACCTCAGAAGACACAGTCATGTCCACTCGAAGGCGTTTCTCCATGACAACGAAGAATCAAGCCCTGGTGACGTCACTATGGCCGAAGCAATCTGTAATGAACCAAAGTATGAAGAATGTGAAGAAATAATTGTAAAAAATAATGAACACTAAGGAAAATAGAATCAACCATTCTTTTCTTGACTAATGAGTATTTGTACTGTATTTTACCTCGAAGTAAAGATGTAAACAATTCTTCACGTGGATGGTGCTTCCACAGTGTTCAGAAYAAAATTAGTTTTCTAGAATAAGAAATTGAAAAAAAAAATCTTCGTGTTGAGCTACGTACACAACAACAACGACTTTATTTGCACTCTTACATGCATAATTACATAAATATAAATATAAATATAACAACGGTGCAATATAATGCGTAATATATATTACAGGCAATTTTGCTGGAGTAGGATTATTTTATAATTTAAATAAAGTAAAACAAGAGAAAACAATGGAATAAGTGTCTATTATACTATGTGTTATGTTTACTATTTTTTTACAAAGAGCATTTTGTTAAACGATGAAATTAATCTAAATAATTTTTGGAACAAATACCAAAATACGTATCAGACTACTGCTGAAAACATTTTCTGAATTTGGTAATAACTACAAATGAATTGAAAGATTGATGTGATTTCCTAACAGAGAAAAACTCTAATCTTCGTCACTACATATGCTAATTAGAAACCTGCAAATTCTCGTTTCTGATTGGTTGTTAGGAATAGGTCTATTTGATATTGAATGACTTTACCCTTGTATTATGGGCTGAAACTTCACCTTCTTCCTAATATGGTCGAGTTGKTTGTTTCCATTTCTGTGCGGCTTAGTTTGTTACAACTGTTTGGTTCATTTAGGTAGGTCAYTCTACCTCGTAATGCAAATGGGCCATTCACGACCCAAAACCTCGAATCTGTCCTACTCCGTTTATGTTCCCGCCTGGCACGAAGTATTCAAAAAATCATTATACCCCACGGAACTAATATAGAAATAAAAGTCTCATAGATTATAACATCCATCCATTCCTTTCCGTGTAATCTTGAACTAAAACCTTTAATCAAACCCACCCAGGATTTTTAAACAAAAATATCATCCCTTCCCCTCCCTTCACGGGACTAGAAAGGCAAAACAAAAGACCTATCAATCATCTACTCCGTCCTGCCTTATCTAGGCTCAAAACCTTCAATCCATCCCACCCAATGAGGTCACAAGATTTCTCACACAAAAAAGGTATCCCTTCTCCTCACCTAGCGGGACTACAGTACGAGAAAATCTATTGCGTCCAACTTGAWTCCAAAATTAAATCCATTCCATCTAACGATGGAGATGATTTATCAAAATCTTTCTGCCCAGAGCTCGTATTTGGAGTCGCGATTAACGCCTCGCGTGYTGTTGTGACTGGTAAAGGCGTGGTAGCTTTATTTTGGCAGTCTTACTCCGGTTTCCTACAAGACACAACATCACAAGCCAAGATTGGTCATCAATCCACACGCTTTCGCTATTAAATGTCGGGTCTGCGACGCTAAAGTCTTAAATTTCTAACTACAAATAAATGATAAATAATTTGAGTACAAATAATTTGATAATCACTGAATTTACTTTGAACACAAAGAAACGCGTGGCAGAACAAAACAGTTATCTCTCAAGTGTATCCTTTGAARACGATACTTATTCTATCGTTATTTCTAGTAAATTTACAATAAAACAAAGTTATGACAGTATAAAACAATGGGTTCAAAGCGGTAGTGAGGATTAGAAAAAAAAAATTTCTCTTTCATAATTAATCGTTTTTCATTTTCTTTGGGTATTTGCACACGAATTGCGATTGCGCAATTTTGCCGAAATAGACCCTCGTATCAATGAAAACAGCCCTGACAAGCTTTGACTTCCAATCACATCTAGTCTAAACACTGAATCATGAGTAAAATTATTTCTGGCATAATCTTAAACTGAGTATAATCTGCGCACTATTAGTTTATTCAGTTTGCCCCTCAACAACTGCCTGAGCTGGGTGTATTTTTTCATGAATGTAGTAACATTCTTTTTTGAATTTTTCTGCGGGTAGAATTAGGGAATTAATTCGCTTGAAACACTTCAATGCTAGAAAGCACATCCACCTGCAACTAGGCGCCAGTTCTTTAGAGTCTCATCTCGTCTATCGGTTTCACTGCTACGCATCAAATATTTACTAGAACAATTGACATGCATGTCATGTTCCTGGTGGTAAACTAAGAARCGATAGTCGGGGCGTATTTTCTGCAGAGGTTCAAGAAGCAATAACATCCTCAAAGAATTAGAAGCTAAAAATGCCYCGGTCGTTTTTGGTACGATTCAAGAGCTCAAGCTCGAGCGAAATAGACGAAAATACTAAAACAGCTCCAAAAGACAAAGGTAATTATTATTTTTTTTATTCTTTTTGGTTGTTTCTTTTAGGCCGATTTTTAGCTGCAACTAGAAATTGTTCAGTGACCCGAAAATTAGGGTCCTCTGGTACCAGTGTTAAGTGCAGAAGCGTAGAAAGCCGTTGTCTTTTTACCTACCTGTGATTTGTTTAGTTTTAAAGCTGATCTAGCTCGTTTAGKGTTTTTCTCATTTGTTATGAAATATCTACACCAAACTTTGACAAAAACACAGCTCRAGTCAAAACAGGACCCAAACTAAARCCGAAGGGATATACCGCTTTATTAACGCCCAARAATAATTATTTTAGATAGAAGAAAGTTTCCAAGCCTTGAAGAAAMAGTTCCAAATGCAAACACGATCGATACAAGACGTATCACGTCCAACCAAATCTTTGCCAAGATTCCCTATTCAGACGATTCAACTCAAGATTCTGATTCGCTTTATCAACACGGCAAACACGAAAACAAAACTACCAATGGTAAGCTCAACGCAAAAACTTAGATTTTACAAATSGTTTTTTCTTTTTATTCACAAATAATCCTCACTGGATTTTATTTCTAGCTAAATGTATGATAACTAAAATGTCCCCACGCCCATATTGTTTTCATCTCTTCCATAAATAGTTTCCTATCAATTTTATTTGTAGTGAGTGAATATTTCATTTCACAAACGTTTTAGGCAGCACAAAGTTTTAACCTGCTTGAACTTTATATTTTGAAGATATATTTCGGAATTTAATTTTCATGTTGCACAACCAATTTTACATGTTTGCGGAGTTTCTCTCGCAGCTAATCAAGATGCGGAAAGCGTTTTAATCAAGTAATAAAGCTCTAAAATCTATCCATCTAGAGGACAGCTTTTTTCCTAGAACTTTTAACACGAATCAAAGGAATATTTCTGAATCGTTCTGTCAATCTGTGCTTCTCACAGCAGCGAGTTTATTGATTAAGAAAACTGATTTGAAGGTTGAATGTGGATTCAAGCATGGCACTTTGGTAAACGGTGTGTCGACAAGAGTTTGGCTTTTGCTTAATGAAGTTGGCAGGAGTTCAACTATAGCTTATGTAGGGGAACACGTATCTGCTTTATGAGGATTTAATTGAAGATGTCGTTTGAAAACTTTGATAAATCTACTAAAACAAAGCACGTATTTTCCTTCGAATTTGCATTTTTTTATTTTCCCGATTTATTTTCTTTTTGGTTGCATCATTATTTTCGTTCATTCCTTTCTTTTTCTTTCCTCGTATCTACTTAATACCGAGTCAAGCAAAGACGGTTTGATTGATAATATTATAATCTTATATTTTTAAGAAAAGACTTTCTCTCGTTTTGTAATTTCTTGTTCTTCTTCACGTTACATATCTGTTATCATTTTTCCATATCGTATCATTTTCCACTTCTAAATGCTAGCTGTTTCGGGCCTTTCTTCGCCTTACTTCGGGATGTTTGATATTATTCTAAACTTCAATTAAGGCAGAATAGCACTGAAAAATCCTTTAATTAGATAATGTGAACAAAGTATAAGCTCATATAAATCCAAAATTCTTAAAACTTTAGCAATTTTGAGATATATAAATAATATACATATGAAGTTTCGTTGCTATTTTCCTTTTATGTATATATACATATATATATCTTTGATGGTTAGAAAATAAACAGTAAACAATGACCAAATCAGCTAATCAGCTGCAAACGTGCTACTAATCCTCGTGTTTTTTTGTTTTTTTTTTTTTGTTTTTTTCTTTTTGTTAAAAATTGTAGATCGACTTGGCATAAAAATGTATTTCAAATTATAATGAAATCCCTGTCCGTCTAATCACGTTATATGTATATATCTATTTAACTTTCCAATTTTCTTGAGATTTTGCGGGTCGTATGTATATACATGTATCTATATATATATATGTTTTTTTCTAGATATTTAGGGCGCGGTCGTTCTCCATATTAAGAATTTTGCTTTATAAGCTCGAAAGGTTTTCATTATTTTCCTTTTT